CTGGAAATATCAATATAAATTCACAATGTAGTTACATTTTTCAGTCTTGCACTGTGGCTGAAGCCTGTAACCCCAGCACTTTGGGAGGCTGAGGTAGGAGGATCACTTAAGCCCAGGATTTCAAGACCAGCCTGGGCAATATAGTGAGACTCCACCTCTATTAAAAAAAAAAAAAAGAAAAGAAAAACCATGCCTCAGGCACATGTTCTCAGGGCCTCCTAAGCCTGTGTCATAGGCCGTGATTCTCACACATAAAATCACAGATTTCCTAGCTTGTCAACTGAAAAAGCCTAAAACCAATGACCAACTCAGTCCTAACAAACACTTCTGATGCGCATGGTATTTATGGTCTCTAAATACCATTTTCACAAGAAGCAACCAAAGACCCTTAGTAGAAATAACTCATTCCAGGTTTGTGGCAGCAAGAATACAAGCTAATCCTACACATCCAGTCATACCAGAAAGCAAAAAAGCTTTCAAAGACCACTTAGTCAAGGCTGCAGTGAGCCATGAATGCACCACCACACTCCAGTCTGCGCAACAGAACAAGACTGACTTCAAAAGACTGACTTCAAAACTAAGCAAAACAGCCAGCCTCAGTGGCTCATGCCTGTAATACCAGCACTTTGGGAGGCTGAGGTGGGCAGATCACGAGGTCAGGAGTTCGAGACCAGCCTGGCCATCATGGTGAACCCTCGTCTCTACTAAAAATACAAAAATTAGCTGGGTGTGGAAGCTCACGCCTGTAATCCCAGCTACTAAGGAGACTGAGGCAGGAGAATTGCTTGAGCCCAAGAAGCAGAGGTTGCAGTAAAGCAGTATCATGCCACTGCATTCCAGCCTGGGCAACAGAGTGAGACTCCATCTCAAAAACAAAACAAAACAAAACAAAACAAAGACCACTTAGGATTGTGTCAAAAGGACTCAGAAATCAACTTGAAGAGGTTCCCACTGGCCAAAGATGGGGACAATTTGAACATGAATAAGGATCACAACTGCAAAGGATGTAAACACAACAAATATGTTTAAATCTGTTAATACATCATGACACTAAGGAAGAAATCTCTACCATCATCTCGGGATGCTAGGGAATCAATTCATTATTTTGAAAACTGGTGAGTACAAGGAAGGAGTTAAGCACTTGTTGAAGAAATAATAGAATATACTATGATAGATAAGAAATGATAGAATATCCTAGAACACCTATGAAATAATGTGTCTAAGCTATCAATGACTAGAAACACCAAAAAAAAAAAAAAAAAAAAAGAAAACCACCGGCCTGGGCTGCATGGTGAGACACTGGCTTTACAAAAAAACTACAAAAATTAGCCAAGCATGGTGGTGTGCATCTGCAGTCCCACTTACTCAGCAGGCTGAGATGGGAGGATCACCTGAGCCCAGGATGTCAAGGCTGCAGTGAGCCACCACTCCAGCCTGGGTGACAGAGCAAGACCATGTCTCAATTAAAAAAAAAAAAAAGCAGCAGCCAGACAGTATATGTTCTGTTCCCTCATATGGAAGTATAAATCTATTAAGTATTCTTGAAAAACAAATCAAATCTGGTCTCTGACCTGAATTACCAGTTTATAGAAAATACAGGGGCAGTAACAAAAATTCACCATGGGAATACAGATGGTCTAACAGAAACCCCCAGTTTAACAAATAAGTTGCAAAGAAAAAATAATGAAGGCCATACCTTTGGATTACAAGATTATAAGAGGACCAGGCAAGTGGCTCACGCCTGTAACCCCAGCACTTTGGGAGGCTGAGGCAGGCAGATCACATGAGGCCAGGAATTTGAGACCAGCCTGGCCAACATGTCGAAACCCCATCTCTACTAAAAATACAAAAAAAATTAGCCAGACATGCTGGCAGGCACCTGTAATCCCAGCTACTCCAGAGGATGAGGTAGGAGAATTGCTTGAACCCAGGAGGTGGAGATTACACTGACCGAAATTGCTTCACTGCACTCCAGCCTGGGAGACAGAGCGAGATTCCTCAACAAAACAAAACAAAACGAAAAAGAAACGCAAAAAGCAAAAACAAGATTACAAGAGGATTTAAGAGCCATACCAACCCATTGCAATGTATGGAATTTATTTAGATCACAATTTGAAAAAAAACTACCCCCAAAAATTTATAAGGCAGGGAAATGTAAACAGTGACTGGATATTTGCTTAGAATAAAGAATTACTATTCTTAGGTATGATAATGGTAATGTGACTACTTAAAAAAAAATAAAAAGTCCTATCCGGGCACAGTGGTTCATGCCTGTAATCCCAGCCCTTTGGGAGGCTGAGGCGGGTAGATGACCTGAGGTCAGGAGTTCCAGACCAGCCTAACCAACATGGTGAAACCCCATCTCTACTAAAAATACAAAAATTAGCCAGGCATGGTGGCGTGCGCCTGTAATCCCAACTACTCGGGAGGCTGAGGCAGAAGAATCACTTGAACCAGAGAAGCGAAGGTTGCTGTAAGCCGCGATAGCGCCATTGCACTCCAGCCTGGGCAACAAGAGCAAAACTCTGTCTCAAAAAAAAAGAAAAAGTCCTCATCTTTTAGAGATACATTCTGAAATATTTCCTAATGAAATATATCTGAGATTTGTTTCAATGTTATCTAAGAGGATATACAGAAGTACTGATGAAACAATGTGATGATGAGCTGAAAAAGTTTAAAACAGGCTGGGCGCAGTGGCTCATGCCTGTAATCCCAGCATTTTGGGAGGCCGAGATGGGTAGATCACCTGAGGTCAGGAGTTCAAGACCAGACTGGCCAACATGGCAAAACCCCATCTCTACGAAAAATACAAAAAAATAAAAATTAGCCAGGCGTGGTGGCATGTGGCTATAGTCCCAACTACTCAGGAGGCTGAGGTGGGAGAATCACTTGAACCCAGGGGGTGGAGGTTGCAGTGAGCCGAGATCGTGCCACTGCACTCCAGGCTGGACAGCAGAGTGAGACTCTGAAAAATAAACAAATAAATCTGAATTTAATCACACCTTCTAGATCTTATTAGCTTACAGAAAGGAAAAAAAAGAGGACAAAGAGGAAGATCTTTTTATTTTTTGCAGAGATTGGATTTCACAATGTTGCCCAGGCTGGTTTCAAATTCTTGGGCTTGAGCGATCTGCCTGCCTCAGCCTCTCATAGTGCTGGGACCACAGGCATGAGGCATCTGTGCCTGGCTGAAGAGGAGCATCTTAAACACCACATCGAGGATACAGTCAGCTAAATATAGAATGGGGGCAATTCTGTAGGAAAAAACTATTCATAAATAAGTGGCACTGAAAGAATAGGGGAGCTGTTAGAGATTAAGAGAAACCTGAGAGACACAGCAACTAAATACAACCTGTTTATCTCAGTTGATTCCTGATGCAAACCAACCAGAATGTTTGAGGCAACTGGAGAAAACTGTATATGGACTGGAATATTGGAAAGGGATTATTGTATGCTTTGTGGGCTATCACCGTATTGTGATCAAGTTGTTAAAAATGTAGTCCTGTGTCTTAGAGACACATACAGAAGAATGAACAGGTGAAACTAAACTGCCTGGTGTGGGCTTTAAACATCCCCTGCCGGCTGGGGGAAGGTGGGAAGGGGAGATACATGAAACAAAGCGGCAGAACCTTAGTAACTGTTGCAGCTTGGTTCTTTATATCTGGCTCCTTATTGTGTGTGTTTGGAATTTTCCAAATAAAAAAGTTAAATGTAAAACATTTTTTAAAAATAAGGAAAACAAGCTCTTGCATAGGTGTTAACTGAACTGAACTCTTGGACATTTAAGGAACTGGAAAACCAGTTGAGGTTGGAGGCATTGGGGAGATGGCAGGGCAGGGAGGACTCTGAGTTTGACCTGCCTGGCATGAGGGTGGAGGAGAAGGGAAGGGGCATGAACTAAGGCACAGTGAGGTCAAAAGCCTCATTGTGCACATGCCAAGCACATTCCCTATTCCCAAGCTGTGGGTGATGGGTGTTTGTTCCATCTCCTGGCCACACTATGGGGTCTTTTAAAGAAAGTTATTATTTATTTTTATTTATTTATTTTTTTGAGACAGAGTTTCACTCTTGTTGCTCAGGCTGGAGTGCAATGGCGAGGTCTCAGCTTAGCACAACCTCTGCCTTCCGGATTCAAGCGATTCTCCTGCCTCAGCCTCCCAAGAAGCTGGGATTATAAGTATGCACCACCATGCCTGGCTATTTTGTATTTTTAGTAGGACGGGGTTTCTCCATGTTGGTCAGGCTAGTCTTGAACTTCCGAACTCAAGTGATCCACCCACCTTGGCCTCTCAAAAGTGCTAGGATTACAGGTGTGAGACACCACACCTGTCCTATTTTTAAATTTTTTAAATTTTTATTTTTTGATATGGAGTTTGGCTCTGTCACCAGGCTGTTCAGTGGCGCGACCTTGGCTCACTGCAACCTCCACTTCCCGGGTTCAAGTGATTCTCCTGCCTCAGCCTCCCAAGTAGCTGGGATTATAAGCACGTGCCACCACACCCGGCTAATGTTTTATATTTTTAGTAGAGTATATATATTCTAATAAATTATGTAATGTATATTTATTTAAACCTATTTATATTCTAAAGTACATTTTTAGTAGAATATATTTTTAGGGTTTCACCATGTTGGCTAGGCTGGTCTCGAAATCTTGACCTCATGTGATCCACCTGCCTCAGCCTCCCAAAGTGTTGGGATTACAGGTGTGACTCACCCTGGCCAGCCCTACTATGGGGTCTTTTAGAAGGAAAATGCCACCATTGTCCCACACTCCAGACTCTTCCTGATCCCCTCTCCCCAAATCCCATATCCCCCAATCCAAGGTGCAGCACAGCCCCACCCAATTGGCAGTTGACACAAGGAGTGCTGGTTTATGCCTCCACCTGCTGGTGGCCACTGGGAAGTGAAGCTGCCAAAAGCCAAAGGATCCCATGAACTGAGAGTTAAGAACATTGTACAAAGATCTGGTCTTTCCCCCTCATAAAAGAAACACATGCCAATAAACATGTAAGAAAGCCTTTAATTTTATCACCATAAACATTAGACTCTGATTGCTCACATACAGTATAAAATATTTACTCCGCTAAATAAATAAGACAACATTATTGCAAACGGCACTTAAATCCCCTGAGAGATAAGACCTCCTTAGCTCAGGCAGGGGGTGGTCCTGAGTTTCTGTGTGAGATTCCCCAGATATACTCTGGGGGCTGAGATGGACAAAGGCTTGGGAAACCACACTTTGTGCTTCTGGTCCTGCAATAGCTCCAAACAGGGTTGTGGAGCCAGTGGGGAAAGTTGGGGGTGGGGGAAATTTCAGGTAGTGCCTTCATCAGCCTAGTCCCAGGCCAGGCGTGGTGGCTCACACCTATAATCTCAGCACTTTGGGAGGCTGAGGTGGGTGGATAATGAGGTCAGGAGTTCGAGACCAGCCTGGCCAACATAGTGAAATCCCGTCTCTACTGAAAATATAAAAATTAGCCAGGCACGGTGGCGCAAACCTGTAGTCCCAACTACTCGGGAGGCTGAGGCAGGAGAATCGCTTGAACCTGGGAGGTGGAGGTTGTGGTGAGCTGAGATCACACCACTGCACTCCAGCCTGTACAACAGAGCAAGACTCTGTCTCAAAAAAAAAAAAAAAAAAAAAAATATCAGCCCAGTCCTAGAAAGAGTAGAGGGGAGAGGAAGTGGGGGGGACCAGGCTGGGCCGAGAGAAGAGGGATGGTTAGGGAAGCTGCTGAGACCTGAAGCCCCACCCTCCACCTTCCTTCCATACCCTAACCTTGGGTAACAGCATTTGGAAAATCAGTTGGAACAGTAGAATTTCCAAGGTCCTGGGTTAGGCATTTTTGGGGGCCAGACCCCAGGAGAAGATTCTGGCAATGATCAGCCCAATGCCCAGCTATCTCAGGGGACCTGATTGCTGGGGATCCCACCCTACCCAAATCTTAGACACCAACACAGAAAAGCTAGCAATGGATTCCCTTCTACTTCGTTAAATAAATAAATTAAATGTTTAAATGCCTGTGTCCCTATGATGGCAACAGAGGGACCAACAGGCCAAGGTGAGAGTTGTGGTGGTAGTGGTGGGGAATCAGCAAAAAGGCAGTGCTGTGGACTGAGGGGACACGGTTCTTGTGTACTGACCCTCAGAACTCTACCCCTGCAAATAACTTTCATACTTTCAAATCCCATGGAGGAGTGTTTCATCCTAGAAACTCCCACACAAGGACTACATTAAATGAAACTGTAAGTTAAGGTGGCTTGGAGGTGGGAAACCAGGTGGCTGAGTTTATTCAGCTCCCAAAACCCTTCTCTAGGTGTGTCTCAACCAGGAGGCTAGCTGTTAACCCTGAGCCTGGGTAATCCATCTGCAGAGTCCCCGCATTCCAGTGCATGGAGTGAATCAAATGCCCTGCCCTTCTGGCCTCTCTGTAGAAGTCCAGACTGAAACCCACTTGGAAGGTGTCCAGTCTGGCAGCCCTAGAGACTGGGAAGAGGGGAAGAGGGGAAGAGGGAAGCCCCAGCCCCCAGCTGTGCAGCTACACACCTCAGCGCCACAGGGTGGCAGCGGAGAGCCACACTACTTTGGCAGCAACAGAAACTGGTGGCCAGCCCAGCAGCCCCCAGATGGGGCTAACAGGAGTGGGGAGCTGGGACCCAGTGAGGCAGGCCCTCCACCCCAATGTGCTGGAAGTATTCTATACTGAGTATCTGGCCAAGTCGCTCTTGTCAAATACTACCTGTGTAGCAAAGTAAATGGCAACCAGACCCAGGCCTGCGGCAGACACCATATAAGCAGTGACAGACTGGCTGAGCTGGACAATGGAGCCCATGAACAGGGACGGGGCCACCTGGGATAGCAGGAAGGCACTATCCAGAATGGCAAGGTCCAGGCAGATGCCCCGGCCTGGAACCACCCTGGCCTCGGCGGGCTCACCCACCACCACGCGCACAGAGACATCACAGGCAGAGGCCCCGCAGAGCGAGGGTGAAGGTGGGAGCAGACCACTGCCTCCAGCACCCACGTGTCCATTGGGGAAGGGAGCTCCAGGCTTCGGGCCTGGCAGGAAGCTGGTTATCAGACTGTCCTCACTGCTGGTGCCTCCAGCGTCCCCTCGGTATTTGGGCAGGAACACCTAGGGCGGAAGGGTGAAGAAAAGGGGAAGGGGACAGGTGTGTACCCAGCACTAGGACCCCCCCAAATGTGAGAAAAGACCCTCGCCTCCATCCCAGGGTCCAGAAAAACACAGGCAATGGGACTTCATGAGAATCAGGAGCAGGAGAGAAGATGGAGACCCTACTTGGTCTGGGTCTAGCCAAGACCCTTCCTCAGGAATGGGAGAAGGGTAACGGGGCAGGGCAGGGACAAGGGGACAAGTCTGAACCCTGAAGTCTAGGGCTCCTCTAGCCTCTTAGAACAGGTAAGAGGCAGACAAACCCAACACCGCAGGTCAGAAAGAGAACAGAGCTCCAAGGTAAGGAAAAGACGCAGGGAGAATGAAGATGGTGGGAAGAGAGATGCACAGAATAGAGGAAGAAGAGCCAAGGCAGGCCCTGATGGCCCACACCCACGCAGGCTCTCCTAACCTTCTTCCTTCCTGTCTGCCCTCTGCTTCGACATCGGAATTCCTCATTACCCTGTGCATAGAAGCTCTGCCTCTCTGGGGTCCCAGAGGCCACTGAAGTCGCTGCCCTGCCATGAGGTCTCTGTCCCCAGCCTTGAAGCAGGGAGAATCCAGTAGACCCCAAGCAGGCGAAATGCCCCTCTTCCCACCTCCCCCGGCGCCAGCTGTGCTAATGTTGAAGGCCTCTCACTTCCTTCCCGCTGTCTGCCTTAGATCACGGTGACTGGTCGAGCACCATCCCCTTGGTCCCTACCCTCAGTGGCCCAGAGCCTCCTATTAAAGGACAAGGCCAGGACTTATCCAACACTATCCCTAGGCCAGAAGAGTTGGGTTGGCTGCATTTGAGAGCTAGGAGCCATGGCAGCGCTCAAACCTGGTACCAGGGAAGCCCGTGGCTCACCATGCAGCGCAAGTGGGCAAAGGAACAGGAGACAGCATGCAGCGGCAAGCCCGCCATCAGCTGCTGTTAGGAAGGGGCCTCCCAGGACTTCTCCCTGTCTGCCACCCCAGGAACGTCCGTGAGGCTGGAGTCTGGAGTGATTCTGAGGACAGACACACTCCTCCATCTGGAGAAGACGGCTAGCTCCAGAACATTCCCTGGCACAACCAGCATGCACTGAGGCCTGGCTACTGATGTCAGCCCCGTCCCCAGCCCAGGCAATCAGAAGAATAGAGGCTGAAGGTTATCAGTGGGCCAACAGGAGTCTCAGGAACCAGGCGCCCCCAACCAAAACCTTAGTCCCTCCCCTCCAGGCCTCCCACCCTGCAGCTACCTACTCAGTTAACCAGCCTCCCATCTGTGAACTTACCTACTTCTCCTCAAGTGCTACGAGGCGCAGGGGCAGGTCTTCCCCACAGTCTGGGAGCTCTGTGGGAGCAGGCCTGCATCTCCGCTTCTCTTGGGACACCCCTGCCCCGCAAGGCAGAGTCCAGCCCCCAGGGTTGTAGCTCAGTGAGGTCAGTGGAGGGGACTTGGGTGACCACACTGCCTGGGTTAGGTGGCTTCCCAAGGAAGGGGGTGCCTGGGGGTTAGTGTGGGGCTGACCAAGAAGGAGGTCCCCACAGCTTACACAGCGTCCAAGCAAGTGGGTTAGGTCTACATCTGGGGAAGTGGAAGAGGATGGAGGCAAAGGAGAGGGGCAGGAAAAGAAAAGGGAATTAGACAGAAAAGAAAAATAAGCCAGAAAGAAAGGGGGCAGGAAGGAGCCTGCCCCATCTCAGTGACCAGAGCAGGACACAGGCTGTCAGGTTGCCACTCCCTGAAAAAAGAGGTGTTGCTAAGGCCGGACCAGTCCCACTCCCATCTGCTGAGGCTGTGTGGGCCAGGGGTCACCTGATCCAGCCCCTGCCTCTTCATGGAACAGCCAGGCTAGAAGCCTAGGGCTCCTGCTGGCCTATCTCTTTGGGATTCCCAGACACGGATTTTGCATTTCCTGCAATCATCCATTCAAGTGCTTCATAGTCCTGACCCCAGGAAGTCATTCCCAGAATCTAATCTACACTCTTCTTCTGCAGCCCAAGCCTCTGGCCCTGGCACTAGGATGAGCTTCCTCTCTGATCCAAAGAAGACTTCTCCAAAGTTGCTTGCCAATACTAGGCTCTTGGCTAGGCGGCCTCCCAAAAACCCAGACCACCCCTCCACCCTGACTCCACCCACCAGCCAATGAGTACCTGCTTCTCCCGGTGGTAGAGGGAGGCCAGTGTGTAGGGCAGGATCTGCAGGGCTGAGAAGGTGAACCCGGTGAGGGCAGCTGAAGCCGTCACCACGGCCACACTGTGGGACAGGCATGTGGCACCGGCAGCCACAGGGAAAGCTGCCACACTGGCCAGATAGACTGCACGGGTGCCAAATCGCTGCACCAGCCGGTCCATGACCAGAGAGAAGACCAGGGAGATGGCGCACTGCAGGAAGAGCCCCAGACTGCCCATCCGCACACCTGGAGAGGGAGAGAGGCTATCAGTGCCTGGGAGGGAAGGGCATGTGCAGTCTCGGGAGAGATGAGAATGTGGGGCCACAGGCACCTGCTGGAGGACACCTGCTGTAGACTAGCCCTGCTCCCCAGTGCCCTTCCCCTTTCTACCTGTAGCAGTGGGAGGCTAGGTTCTTCCACTGGCCCTCAGAGGATGTGGCCAAAGCCACTTGCTAAAGGCAGAGGAAGGGGTCTAAAGGTTTACTGGGAGTCTCAGCTGTGGGGAGAGGAGGGCGAGAGGCAACACAAAGGTAGCTGGGAATAGGCTTCAAGATGCTTCTAGGACGTTTGAACTGGAAGGCGCTGGTGAGATTATGTGGTACATCATTGGGGGAGCAGAGGGCACACTGTGGCTGCAGCCAGGCCGATCTGAAATCCAGCCTTGACTCCTCCACTGCCTCTAGACTTTGAACAAGCTCCGCCTTTCCTTCTGCCAAATTCAGGCAATGACTCTGATCAAACTCCTAGAGCCGCTGGAGGCCCTCCTGAAACTGCAGGCAGAGCTTTTCCACACCCATGAGGAGCTGTGTATGCAGACGGGGTCCATCCCTGCTTTCCTGACGGAGAGGTCGGGGCCAGGATGGAGAAGAAACAGCCCAGACACAGCTCCGAGTGTCCTCTCTGGTACCAGCCTCCGCAGCCTTACCTTCATCATAGTGTCTCCGGGCCTCAGTGCCCGGCTCAGCTCGGGGGACGCCCTGGTACAGCCCCTCACCAACGAAATCCGTGTAAAACAGCGTGAAGGTCATGAGTGCCATCCAGCTGCACAGCTCAGCCACGAAGAGCCGGCGCAGGGTACGGGGCATGCGGCAGCACAGCTGGTGTAGACGGGGAAGCAGCGCGCCCAGGTTTCGGAAAGCCAGGCGGGCCTGGCATGGACAGCAGCGGGGCGGCAGGGAGTGGGCTGACAGTGCTTCTGCGGGCTCGGCTGGGCCCAGCACCGCCTCCTCTGCTACCAGCAGTGTGGCTGCTACACAGGTGAGGAAGATGAGGGTGAGCAGGCCAAAGAGGCACTCCTCCTGGGTGCCCAGGTAGGGGGCCAGGGCACTGGTGTCCCAGTCAATGGCAGGCAGGAGGTAGCCCAGGCAGCCCCCAAGACTGATCATGAAGGCATAGACGGAGTAGGCCTGGCGACAGTGGTCCGGGTCCCGGAAGAGGTCAGAGAGCAGGGCCTCCAGTGGGGTGAAGCACACCTGGCCGCAGAAGTCCAGCAGCCCCACACCCAGGATGAGCAGTGCCAACTCCAGGGGCCTGGGATCCGGGCACAGCAGCCCTGCCAGCCAGCCAGCCCTCGGGATGAGAAAGAGGCTCAGCAGGATGCCTAAGGACAGCGCCCAGATGAAGGGCCGCCGCCGGCCATAGCGTCCGCGCCAGTGGTCACTGGCTGAGCCTAGGAGCGGGACAGAGACCAGGCCCAGCACTGGACCGATGCCTGCAAGAAGGGGAAGCAGTATGAGTCAATAGCTGGGACTACTAAAGGGCAAGGGGAAGGAGAACCAAGCTCTGTGAGAAGCTTGGAAATGACATTCTGTACTAGACACTGCGCTGCATCTTCACAGGGGTGCTGTAATCTGTACTAGACACTGCGCTGCATCTTCACAGGGGTGCTGTAATCTGTACTAGACACTGCGCTGCATCTTCACAGGGGCGCCGAAATCTGTACTAGACACTGCACAGAGTGCTGTAATCTGTACTAGACACTGCACAGAGTGCTGTAATCTGTACTAGACACTGCACAGAGTGCTGTAATCTGTACTAGACACTGCACAGGAGTGCTGTAATCTGTACTAGACACTGCACAGGAGTGCTGTAATCTGTACTAGACACTGCACAGAGTGCTGTAATCTGTACTAGACACTGCGCTGCATCTTCACAGGGGCGCCGAAATCTGTACTAGACACTGCACAGATGCTGTAATCTGTACTAGACACTGCACAGGAGTGCTGTAATCTGTACTAGACACTGCACAGGAGTGCTGTAATCTGTACTAGACACTGCACACAGGGGTGCTGTAATCTGTACTAGACACTGCACAGGGGTGCTGTAATCTGTACTAGACACTGCACAGGGTGCTGTAATCTGTACTAGACACTGCACAGGGTGCTGTAATCTGTACTAGACACTGCACAGAGTGCTGTAATCTGTACTAGACACTGCACAGGGGGCTGTAATCTGTACTAGACACTGCACAGGGTGCTGTAATCTGTACTAGACACTGCACAGAGTGCTGTAATCTGTACTAGACACTGCACAGAGTGCTGTAACTGTACTAGACACTGCACAGGGGTGCTGTAATCTGTACTAGACCTTCCGCTGCATCTCACAGGGGATGCTGTAAATCTGTACTAGACCTGCACAGAGTGCTGTAATCTGTACTAGACACTGCACAGGAGTGCTGTAATCTGTACTAGACACTGCACAGGAGTGCTGTAATCTGTACTGACACTGCACAGAGGTGCTGTAATCCTGTACTAGACACTGCACAGAGTGCTGTAATCTTTACTAGACACTCCGCACAGGGGTGCTGTATCTGTATAGACACTGCACAGGAGTGCTGTAATCTGTACTAGACACTGCGCTGCATCTTCACAGTGGGCGCCGAAATCTGTACTAGACACTGCACAGAGTGCTGTAATCGTGTACTCGACACTGCACAGGAGTGCTGTAATCTGTACTAGGACACTGCAACAGGGAGTGCTGTAATCTGTACTAGACACTGCACAGGGGTTGCTGTAAATCTGTACTAGACACTGCACAGAGTGCTGTAATCTGTACTAGACACTGCACAGGGGTGCTGTAATCTGTACTAGACACTGCACAGGGGTGCTGTAATCTGTACTAGACACTGCACAGGGGTGCTGTAATCTGTACTAGACACTGCACAGAGTGCTGTAATCTGTACTAGACACTGCACAGGAGTGCTGTAATCTGTACTAGACACTGCACAGAGTGCTGTAATCTGTACTAGACACTGCGCTGCATCTTCACAGGGGCGCCGAAATCTGTACTAGACACTGCACAGAGTGCTGTAATCTGTACTAGACACTGCACAGGGGCTGTAATCTGTACTAGACACTGCACAGGCAATCTGTACTAGACACTGCATGCTGTAATCTGTACTAGACACTGCACAGGAGTGCTGTAATCTGTACTAGACACTGCACAGGAGTGCTGTAATCTGTACTAGACACTGCGCTGCATCTTCACAGGGGTGCCGAAATCTGTACTAGACACTGCACAGAGTGCTGTAATCTGTACTAGACACTGCACAGGAGTGCTGTAATCTGTACTAGACACTGCCACAGAGTGCTGTAATCTGTACTAGACACTGCACAGGGTGCTGTAATCTGTACTAGACACTGCACAGAGTGCTGTAATCTGTACTAGACACTGCACAGGTGTGCTGTAATCTGTACTAGACACTGCACAGAGTGCTGCAATCTGTACTAGACACTGCACAGGAGTGCTGCAATCTGTACTAGACACTGCACAGGAGTGCTGCAATCTGTACTAGACACTGCACAGGAGTGCTGCAATCTGTACTAGACACTGCACAGGAGTGCTGCAATCTGTACTAGACACTGCACAGGAGTGCTGCAATCTGTACTAGACACTGCACAGGAGTGCTGTAATCTGTACTAGACACTGCACAGAGTGCTGTAATCTGTACTAGACACTGCACAGAGTGCTGTAATCTGTACTAGACACTGCACTGCATCTTCACAGGAGTGCTGTAATCTGTACTAGACACTGCGCTGCATCTTCACAGGAGTGCTGTAATCTGTACTAGACACTGTGATGCATCTTCACAGGGGTGCTGTAATTTACTCCTCCTATCATGGGTATTACAGATGCCCCCATTTTCTTTTTTTTTTTGAGGCAGAGTTTCACTCTTGTTGCCCAGGCTGGAGTGCAATGATGAGATCTTGCCTCACTGCAACCTCTGCCTCCCGGGTTCAAGCGATTCTCCTGCCTCAGCCTCTTGAGTAGCTGGGACAACAGATGCCTGCCACTATGCCTGCCTAATTTTGTATTTTTAGTAGAGACAGGGTTTCTCCATATTGGTCAGGCCAGTCTCAAACTCCCGACCTCAGGCGATCCGCCCGCCTAGGCCTCCCAAAGTGCCGTGATTATAGGCATGAGCCATTGTACCCGGCCAGATGCCCCCATTTGCAGATGGACAGACTGAGGCATGGAGCAACTAAGAAGTGATACTTACACAAAGGCACAGAACTAGGGAGGATAAGAGACAGCGTTTCAGCAGGCAGTGTGACTCCAGAGCCTGCAGTCTTCACAGGGACCCCTCTCCCTGGGGGTGAGGGTTGTCACACAATGGTGGCTACTTGCCTTCTGTGGCTTTTGTAGAATTTATCTGCAGAGTCAGGAGCCCACCCCTTGTCCTAGAGCAAGTCCTGGCTGGGAGACCGTGATGGAGTCCCAGCTCTACTGTTCAGCTAACCTCTTAAAAGCCTCTGCTTCCCTCTCTGTAAAATGGACGATCTCAAATGGTGGCTATAAGCATTACATGAGGTAATAGATTATAAAAGGGCTAGCCAAAGGTGAGGAGCATTTCTCCAGTGTCTCCTATGAGCCAGCCACTGAGGACCAGGGAGCCACAGGTGACTGGGATATGTCCTTGGTATTCTCTTCTTTCTCTTGGTGTGCCCCCTCAGCCCAGGGTCATCCTCCGACCCAGCAGACCACCTCTCCCTCCAAGCAGCTCCCTGGGGAGAGGCACTCCTGTCCTGCATCCCAGGTGGCACACATCTGGAGCAGAAAGGAAGGAAGGCCGTAATGACTCACCCAGCACCATGGTCATGAACTTTTCCTCCACGCCCACTTCCAGCAGCAGAGGCGGCACATAGGTGATGCCTGCGGCCAAACACACCTCCAGGCCAAAGGTTAGCAGGTTGACCAGCAGGAGCTGGGCTTTCCGGTGCCGCAGCAGGCGGCTCACCCACAGCCTCTGGACCATGGTGGGCCAGGCAGGCAGGGCTCAGGGGGCCGTTCAAGCCCTCCAGAACTGCTTCGTCTCAGCTCTGCTCCAGAAGCCGCAGCCTCTCCTCCTTGCTGCCGCCAACTGCCTAGGAGTCAGCCAGACGCCCATTTCCGCCAGCCCTTTGGTGCTGGTCCAGCTTCTCAGCCCATGCTCGACACCTGCTGCTATGGGGCACCTCAGTGGGGACACATCTCATCACTCAGATCCTAGAAGGGTGGGGCAATCACAAGCACATCAGGTGTTAAGTCCTGGGAGCCAGGTCTCCAGGATTTGCTCTGAATTGTCTGGATCCTGATCATTCACAGGCTGGCGATTGGGCCGCCACTGAGGTGCCACCCCCTGCTGCCCAGCCAGGAAATGCATGTTAATATTAGCCTAAGGCTGACATAATTAATAAGGCAAATATGACTTTTTAAGCCTCAGCACACTGCAGAGCCAAACAGGTGTTGGTTATTCTCTGTTTTGAAAAATCTACAATTGCCTTTGCCTGCTAGTATTGGAGGGGGCAGAAATCAAACCAACTGAATTTTTAGTTGAGCAGGCCCAGCTGTCAAGGTGCCCCTGCAGACCCTGTGCCAGGCCCGGATGTTTGCTTTTCTCTTTCTACTCCCCAAACCTGGGCTGTTCAACTCCCTCTTGTTAAGAATAACACATCCTATTCCACATGGCCTGACCAGGAGCCAGACTGCACAACACCTACCCGCAAAGACCAGGATGAAGGGAAAAGGGAGGAGAGGCTGTGCTGCGCTGGGTTGAGTTTTAGAGAAGGCTCCCTGGGATGAGCCCAGGCCTGAAAATTTCTCCCTTGAGATTCTCCCTGAGTTCAATGTTCACGGGGAAGAAACAAGCCTACATACGGCTGTCCAGCTGTCATGGGAGAGTGGAGCCGTCCCCAGGTTCTAGCTCACAGGGGCATGAAACCACACCACCCGGCGACACCTGTAATGATACCAGTGACCCCCTCCCCCCGAGCTGGCAGGATGCCCAGCCACTTCCAGGGCAGCCTTTCTGAGCTCCTTAAATGGAAGAAAAAGGAATTTTTCTATGCTCCTTAAGTTTTCTGCAGAGAAGCCTCACACCCTTTCCTACTAGCTCTGCCTCCTGTGCAGAGACAGCCATCCGTATCTTCCCCACCAAGTAAGTGGCCTCCAAGTCCTGCTTCCTGACAGTAAACCCAGTGCAGTCTCCTCTGCTTAGAAGTGACTATGAAAAGCCAGGTTCGGTGGTGCATGTCTGTAATCCCAGCACTTTGAGAGGCGGAGGTGGGCAGATCACCTGAGGTCAGAAGTTCAAGACCAGCCTGGCCAACATGGTGAAACCCCATCTCTACTAAAAATAAAAAAATTAGCTGGGCATTGTGGCGGGCACCTAAAATCCCAGCTACTCGGGAGGCTGAGACAGGAGAACTGCTTCAACCCGGGAGGTGGAGGTTGCAGTGAGCTGAGATCATGCCGCTACACTCCAGCCTTGTCAACAGAGCAAGACTCCGTCTCAGGAAAAAAAAAAAAAAAAAAAGAAGAAGTGACTACAAAAGGGGGAACCAGGTCAGGCATCAAAAGTAGGTACTACAGAGGGTGAGCCTTGGTGAGGAAAGGAAGGAGGCTCCTTATCGGTTATCCATCCCAAAACAGAGGAAGGGAACAGAGCTTCCTGGCACTCATGGCTGGACACCTTCCTTCTCCTCCCCAATTCAGTCCCATAAATGCTACTGAAGGGCAGCTACTCTGGTGCAAGGACAACAGTGGCTGAGGGCCTGGCTCCAGTCTCCTCCACCAGAAATCACCCACAGCCCCCACTCATGCCCTCCTCCAATCTCAGCACCTCATAATAAAAGGCGCTTCAACTTCTCTTATCTTTTCACATAATACTAAGCGCCATGGGGCCTTGCATGTTACAAAGCGTGTTGTGGTGCTCTGAGCTGTGCCACAGAGAAAGCAGACAGGGCTGGGTGTGGTGGCTCATGCCTGTACTCCCAAGGCTTTGAGAGGCCAAGGCAGGAGGATCGCTTGAGCCCATGAGTTTGAGACCAGTATGGGCAACACAGAGAAACCCCGTCTCTACAGAAAAATTAAAAATTAGCCAGGCATGGTAGTACGCACCTGTGGTCTCAGCTACTCAAGATGCTGAGGTGGGAGGATTGCTTGAGTCTTCGAGGTCGAGGCTGCAGTAAGCAGTGATCATACCACTGTCCTCCAGGTCTGTGTGACAGAGGGGGACACCGCCTAAAAAAAACCAATCAGACGGCTATCAGTCCTGGGTAAGATCTGTTCACTCCATCACTACCTTCAGGGGCTTTGCAGCTGGCAGACCACGAAGGAAGGAAATTGAGATAAGGCTGGGCAACCAAAAGCCTTCTCCCCTAAATCCTGCTCAGATTCCGGCTTTGGGATGGGGCACAGGGCCTCCTATGGAGGTGGCATGAGGAGGCCTGTAAAATACTGCCCCATACTATCTCCAAAAGGAAGGTGGAAGGCCAGCCGCCAGTCTTAGCTGAGAGTCCCTCATTGCTGCATTTCCATGGTGCCCCCAAGAAGGAAAGCAGGAGACAACACAGAGACCAAGAGGCAGTGCCGCCCAGTCTAAAGGGAGGGGTTCTGCGGCCAAGGGATTCCAGCCCTTGTTCTGTGAGGGCCGTGAATGCTAGCCTGCTCCGGGCTTTCAGGAGACCAGGTCCTCCCTGAGCAAACAGAGACTTTGTTAGACCCAGCCTCGCCCAGAACCTGCACTCATTCTCCAAGTCCCGGCTGCTCCCTATTTTTTAAAATAAATTTCAGGCCAGGCACATTGGCTCACATTGGTAATCCCAGCACTTTGGGAGGTTGGAGTGGGACAATGGCTTGAGGCCAGGAGCTTAAGAACAGCCTGGGCAACATAGCAAGACCTTCTTTCTACAAAAATAAAAATAAATAGGCCAGGTATAGTGGCTCATGCTTGTAATCCCAGAACTTTGAGAGGCTGAGATGGGAAGATTACCTGCAGTCAGGAGGTTCGAGACCAGCCTGGCCAACATGGTGAACCTCTATCTCTACCAAAAAATACAAAAATTAGCTGGACATGGTGCGGTGTGCCTGTAATCCCAGCTACTCAGGAGGCTGAGGCAGGAGAACTGTTTGAACCTGGGAGGTGGAAGTTGCAGTGAGCCGACATCACGCCACTCCACTCCAGCCTGGGCGACAGAGCAAGATTCCATCTCAAAAAATAAATTAAATAAAAATAGCTAGGCATGGTGGCATGCACCTATAATCCCAGCTCCTCAGGAGGCTGAGGTGGGAGGCTCTCCGGAGCCCAGGCATTCCAGGCTGCCAGTGAGCTATGATCACGCAACTGTTCTCCAGCCTGGGGACCACAGTGAGACCTGGTGTCTAAGAAATCAAAAAAACAAAAATAAACCGCAGCTCTCCAGCAACCATTAATCATCCCACCTGCCTTGCCCCTCCCTTAGTCCAGTTCCCAGGCCCCCCAGGAATGAGCAGATCCTTCTTAGCCCACATGGGGAAAAAAACACAAAGGGGTAAGAAGAAGAGTATCCCCCAACCTCCTACAGCCCAGGTAGCTCATCAGTAGCCTTCCCATTCCTGGGGTGCCTTTCTCCATTGCCCCCCACCCCTACCTAGACATTCTTTACCTGGTAACTAGGGCTTGAGCCAGGTGGGGAAAAGAGTTGACTAGAAAGGCAGCAGTTCCAAGGACCCCCTGTTCTTTGGTTGCAGAGCCTGGCCTCCCTCTTTTGAGTTCTACTCTGCCCAGGGGGTCCGGAGTACTCTTGCCACCTCCAGACTTGACTCTGCCCAGCCCAGAATTGCCTGAGGAGTTCCAGCCCCATAAGCACACGCTACCTCCAAAGTCCCTTTTCTTATCTTTGCCTCCGTTCCAGTGCCCCAATGCCTATGACTTCATCCATACTCCAGGGTCCTCAGGCTAAGGACACCATAGTGGACTCGAACACTAAGTCCAGCTGCTCGCCATCCCCTCCAGGGCCTTCATCCCTGGAGCACAAACAGAGGAGGCCAGGCTATCTCAGTTCTCAGGCTCAGGGAGGTCTGAGAACAAGAAGTCTTTTAGTACCACTTTCCCGGCCACCACTCCCATCAGCAGCCCCAGGGCAAGCTTCTTGCCAAAGCATGCAAATGACAGATCAGTGTTGGAACCCGGCCTCCTGCCCCAAGTCTGGGGAACTCCCCTGTCCTCCTGAGGACAGGGTCCAATTCTCCCCTACACCCTCTAGTCCTGGAGATGCTTCTGACGAAAATCCTCCTGCCCCACTACTCCTGGAACACTTTGTCTGGCAGACAAGATCAACCAGAAGAGCCAGCCTCACAGCATTCACCTGGCAAGGAGTGGAAAGGAAGAGGAGGGAAGTGGAGGGGCTGACCTCTCAGAAAGGCAAGGAACAGGAGGCAGCCTTCTAGGACAAGACCCTCTCATGTTCCAACTATCTGCCCTCCTCTCTGGACCCAGCGATTGGCAAGACAGCAGGAAAGTTGAATACCAAGGCCTCTGGGAACCTTTGTGGAGCTCTGCCCCAGGCCACCCTTCCTCATCCTTAGGGGAAGAGAATCAAAACCCAGACAGGCCAAGGACCCTGAGCAAGGTCAGTGAAACTGGATCCTCACTGCCCCTGTCCAGGTGCTGGGAGATACATGCCTCTCATGCATCCCAATATGTGGCACCCCCAGGGCCCCAGCAAGAAAAGGAACAGGGAAATATTTACCTAATGAATGAATGGCTGAAAGCAAGGGGAAGTAGTAGAAGCAAAGGTGAGGGCTTAGGTCCTCCTCCTCCCACGTGCTCCCCACACACCAAGGACTTTCCAGGCCCAACTCCAGAGGGAGCAACTCCTACCGGCTCAAAGGTGGTGAGTGGCCCAGATAAACCCTCCTGGATTGGAAAGCCCCCATTCAGACCGGACCCTGAGCAGGGAGTTTGGGGGAAATGAAACTGAGCAACAGGAACAAACTTGGCCTGAACTTTGTCCAAAATACAGAAGACAGAGTGGCAGAGGAGAAGGAAAGCCGACCCGAGCCCACTCTCTGGTAGCTCCCTCAGGGAAGGGAGGGTCAGAGGGGGATGTATAAAGAGGCCTTTGAGGGCTTTCAAAGGGGCTCCTGACACCCCGCGCGGCTGAGGTGGAGCTGGGGGAGCAGAGCTGGGGGAGCAGAGCTGGGGGAGCAGATTCCCTCCGCAGACAGACAGAGGCCAGTGGAAGCCCAGGCTGGGGTAGCCCCCCGCCCCGGGCCTGTGTCAGGCAGCAATTCTAAGGCCTCTTTATGCAGGCCAGTGTCAAACCCCACCCAGGCACATCAAACGGCTGCAGCCCCCACCCTGACCCCGCAGGCTGGGCGACCCTGCGTCTTCCCTGCACACTCACAAAGACCCACTGCTTTCTCCCAGGCTCCTCAGAAGCAGCTCCGCTCCCCTTCACAGCCACCCTGCAGCCCTCCCCGCAGAAGGGGAAACTGGGGACTGGTGAGGCACGAGGATTAATGACTCAGCTGAGGCAAGCGGGTGGGGTCACCCTGGGCCAACCTCCTGGACACACACCCCACCAAGGCTGCCCTGCCCCAGATCAGTGTGATGGCCAGGAAGGGGGCGACCCCAGCGCCTTGCTCCAAACTGAGCTCTCCAGGGTCCTCTAGCTTGGGGGCAGGGAGTAGACCTCTCCGGTCTGAGGGTTCCCCAGGCCACATCCCCATTACCCACCCCCCACTAGCCCCAGTCCAAGGGGACCAAGGCTGTCACCTTACCTAATGAAACCTGGCACACTGCACTCCCCACATGAGCCCCACCCTCACAGCAGCTCCATAGGAGCCTTGGGGGCACCCCAGCCAGGAGATCTGGAAGCAGGCATTCTAGTGAGGCAATGAGCTCCCTATCACGATAGATCCCCTTTGTGAGTGGTGCTGTGTGCCTGGGCTGCTGGGGAGATGGCAGGAGGTACACGGCGTTAGACGGCCATGGCTTTGGTGACTCCCAACCCATTAAGTCTTTGATTCTCCGGAACCAAGTATTTCCAAAGCAGTGAGGGTCTCTGTTTTCCCCAACCCCACCCTAGAAAAAAAAACAACAGTGATTTTCAGAAAGAGCGGAGGCCCACGATCTTGCAGGGCTCCCAGGGGCACCTGAGGACCCCACTCAGAATGAAGCCTTCCCACCTCAGGGACTCCTAAGAAAGAATAAGGGCTGGCAGTGGGAAGGGGGACCCCAGCCGCACCCCAGACTTGCTCCCTGGTGCCTGCCTCCCCCAGGGCCCGGAGGCCAGGGATTTAGAGTTCGCCCTGCTGAGCTGCCTTTTCTTCAGCAGGACTGGAAGCCTTCTGCTTAGCAGCTTGTCAGAGAGGGTGAGGGGGCTGCAGGCCGGGACACAAAGGGGGATTAGGGAGAAACCTCTCGGCCTGCAGAGTAATCCATCAAACTCTCTCGGGCTGCCAGAGCCGGCCCCTTCCCACTCAATTCCCCTTCCAGCTGCTGCTGGCCCCCACCCCCACCGGCTCCTGAGCCCATCGCATCGGGCAGCAAAGAGAATCCCAGGCCCTAGGGGGGCAGAGGGGGCACACCACAGACACTGGGAAAAGGGCAACGGCTCCCTCCCCCCGACCCCCAATGTGTGAAAACCCAACAGGTGGCAGTGGCGTGGTGGAGAGTGGCTTTTGTTGCCCTGTCTGAGAGCCCCAGTCCAGCTTTGGAAAGGAAACAAATGCCAGAGGAGATTGGGGGAAGGGGAGGGGAAGGGACAGAGGGGATGGGACAGAGGGGAAGGGACAGAGGGGCAGTCCCTGGAACCAGCACTGCTCTCCCCTCCCTTCTCCTACCCAGTGACAGGGATTCTGGGGCTGGCCTGACCCTCACCTTGGCCAGTCAGTCCTGGACAGCCTAAGCTGAGGCTGAAGCATGGGGACCCTCCCAGGGGTCACCTGGCAGTCCCATGGTGACAGTCAATACAGGCACACATTCTGACTCTGGGCACCTGGGCCTCCCAACCACACTGAGAACAGCTGCAACCCAAGGTCACACTGGGCATGCCCTCCAAGCCAGGACCAGCAGTGTTCTTCAACCTGGAGCTCTCTTCCACCCGAGGGACCACAACCTTCTGAGTCCTGACGTCCCCAAATCCTGGCAGACTCTGCAGGGTCACCTGGGTTTGGGCGTCTGCCTGACCTGGGTTTGCATGCCAGCTCCACCATGTATTATAACTGCATGAGCCTGTAACTTGACCTCCCCAAGACTCAGTTTCCTCATCGACAATGAACGATAGCAGGCCGGGTGTGGTGGCTCACGCCTGTAATCCCAGCACTTTGGGAGGCTGAGGAGGGCGAATCGCCTGAGGTCAAAAAGTTCAACACCAACTTGGCTAAAATGGTGAAACCCCCATCTCTACTAAAAATACAAAAATTAGCCAGGCCCAGGCATAGTGGTGCATGCCTGCAATCCCAGTTACTACTCAGGAGGATGAGGCATGAGAATCTCCTGAAATCAGGAGGCTGAGGTTGCAGTGAACAGAAATCGTGCTACTGCACTCCAGCCTGGGCAACAGGATGACTCTGTCTCAAAAACAAACACACACGAAACAGAAAACAGGAAAAAAAAATGCATAACAGCAGCCAACACTGAGGTTATAACACATGCCAGGCATTCTGCCATGAGTCTTCGTCTTCCAATGATGCGATGAGGTGGGTACAATTAGTATACCCATTTTATAGGCATGGAAACTTAGATTAATACCACCAACTTTGCCTTTATAGGGTGAGGTGGCTCACGCCTATAATCCCAGCCCTTTCGGAGCCAAGGCAGGTGGATCACAAGGTCAAGAGATCGATACCATCCTGGCCAACATGGTGAAACCCCATCTCTACTAAAAATACAAAAATTAGCTGCGCATGGCGGCGTGTGCCTGTGATCCCAGCTACTCAGGAGGCTGAGACAGGAGAACTGCTTGAACCCGGGAGGTGAAGGTTGTGGTGAGCCGAGATCGCACCATTGCACTCCAGCCTGGGTGACAGACCAAGACTCCATCTCAAAACAAACAAATAAAAAACACCAATTTTGTACATGTAGAATGTGCTTGAGACACAGGATATGAAAGTTCCTGGTAGCCACTTCTTCAGTCGCCTCCTCGGGGAGGAAGGGCTTTCTCATTCCAAAGAGGAGCAGCTGTGGTTAGGGGAGACCAATTACACTTTCTTCTGGGTTTTCATATTCCCCTCTCATCCATGTGCCTCCCCCACCACACTAGCGCACTAGCCCGTAGCAGCAAGAGGAATGCCAAGAATGTAACTGCCTCCCCAGGTGCTGGACCCAACAGGTGAGGAGAGGTCACTGCAACAGACCTGCCTGCTTGCTGGAGGAAGGCTGAGCCGGGAGGTGGAAGGTGGGACAAAGATCCCATAGTTAAGAGACAGTGTGATTTCCACTCACAGGGAAAATGAACACAGTGGCTGATCCCTACTAACTGCCTCAGAGGCGTCTGGCATGTGCTAGGTAGGTACTTGATATACTATACCTTCTCTCTAATAACTCACACAATGCATACACTCCAAATCCAAGGGAAGTATTTAATATTCATATTCAAGGATGAGCAGCTCAGAACATAACATGCCAAGGTTGCACAAATAAAAAGTGGTTGAGCAGACAATTCAAACCATTGGAAAATGCCGAAAGGTGCTCTGAACTCGGAGCCAGGAGACAGCAGTCCTGTTTCAACAGCCTGTTTTTGTAGCCTAGACAAGCCATCTCACCTCTCGGACTCAGTTTCTGCACCTGTCAAAGTATCCAGAGCTCATCTGGATAATGCCAAAGGTTCTTTCCCTCTGTGCAGCCAGGTGATCTCACATGCATCCCCTACCCCCGTAGGTGCTTTTTCACAGGCACGTACCCCCAAGGGCTCACTGATGAGGCTACGTGGCATTGAGGAAGGCACTCATGTTCCTAATAGGAATACAAAAACCCTACTTTGTATTTGGACTTTCATGGCCTCCCACAAATGAGTCAAGGGGAAGCAGGTGGAGAAGCATGCCCCAGCTGCACTTACCCCATCCTTATCTGCCCACATACTCTCAAGTACCAACAGAGGGCCAAGGGTCAGCGGTCACCTGAAACTGAGCCAAGTAACCAGGACATCTGGGCACAGAACTGCCCTCTTCCCTAGTCCTTCCCAGAGTTGGACTCTGTTCCTGGCAGAAATTAGTAACTGAATTCCCTCCTTGGGCCACAATAAATGCTTCCCTACAAGGCAGGGCAGTACCAAGAAATTCCTTGGTCCAAGGTAGGGGAAGAACATGAGAGGGGAAGAGGGAGCTTGGCACAGTGTCCAGGCCACTCGGAAGTTGCCTCCCTCCATTCTGCCTTTTCCTACAGCCCCTGGAAAGAGAAGCCTGAATGGCCTTCCTCCTACTGAACTTGAACCCTGCCAGTCAGCCAGACAGACAGCTCTGCCCATTCACGTACAGCCAATCTTGGTCTTCCCCTTTACCCTGGCCTCCCTTAGGAGGTGAGGTATACAGGAAAGAGGCCAGGAGACTGAGAATCTGGGCAAACCTACAGATGAGCAGCACCCTGGACCTAAAGTCAGACCACGATGCTGGTTCCAGCCCTGCCATGTCCCTCCTCGAGGGTTTCAAATACGGTGACCAGTAAGCCCTTATTAGACCTGAGTCCTAGAGGCTGTGGTCAGTCACATTTATAACCACAGGGCTCCAAGTCAGACTCAGTTCTCTGCAAGTGTGTTCTCAAAAACACTTACTCCATGGTGAGCAAGGAAAGAGTGGGGCCCCAAAGAAACTCATTTTCAGAATTAAGGATCCCAAGCTTGCTGACACTTGAAAGTATACCTCAGTGCACACAATCTAACCTCCCCTAAGGGAACGTCAAACAGCACTGAAACCCACCCACCCAACAACACAGAGCATCAATTGTGCATAAACCCGCTGTGAAGGTGCTGGGGACACAGAAACAACTGATCGCAGCTCCCTTTGGCAAAAGGGATAAAATGCAATCGGTGTGCAATGAGGTAGCACAAGTGTGAAGACATAAATCCACGGCGGAGGGGGAGACTGAAGGTGGGGGCACATGCAGTTCTTCCAGGGCTTCCTAGAGGGAATGGCCATGTTGCTTAGCCTTGAAGGATAAGCGGGTAGGTACTACACAATGTAGGAGCATGGGTAGGAAGGATCCCTTTTCCTCCCCATCATAAGGGTCAGAACTGACACCTCTATAACAAAAGCATAACAGGCCGGGCACAGTGGCTCATGCCTGTAATCCCAGCACTTTGGGAGGACAAGGCGGATGGATCACTTGAGGTCAGGAGTTCG